GAGGTCTAGACAATAAGTAACAATGAGATATAGTGACATGATAAAAAATATTCAATTAATTCAAAAGAAGTCATGAAAAGAGGAGAAACGGAACAGAGACTAGATGGGACCAAAAAAAAAAAAAAAACAGCAAGATGACAAACATATGATATCAATAAACACATTACATATAAATGTTCTAAAAAACTTCCAAGTAAGACATTTTGTTAGACTGGTTAAAAGTAGAAGGATGAAAAACATATACTTTGCTAACACTAATCAAAAGATGCAAAATTTTTACAGTGAAAACTAAAAAATAACAGTACTAAGAGAAATTAAACAAGACTTAAATAAAAGTAAGGATACAGTGTGCTTCTAGATCAGAATATTTAATATTAAGATGTCAATTTTCCTCATTTCACCTATGGATTCAATGCAATCACAATCAAAATTACGGTCAGCTTTTTTGGTAGAAATTAAACTGATTATAGAATTCATACGGAAATGCAAAGAATATCCAAAAAGCTTCTAAAATGAACAGACCTGAGGACCAATATTATCTGATTTCAAGAGATTATGAAGCTATAGTAATCAAGATGGTATGGTATTGACATAAAGATAGACAAATAGATAATTGGAACAGAAAAGCATCCAGAAATAGACTCACGCATAAATGATTAATTGGCTTTCCACAAAGGCCTTTTCAACAAATGATGCCAGAAATAGTTGGGTTTCAATATGCAAATATATGAGTTTCAGTCTATACAAAAATCAACCACAAAAGGATCAGACTTAAAGCTATGAAACATCTATTGTAGAAGAAAACATAGACAAAAACCTTTGTGACCCTGGGTTAGGCAAAAATATTTCAGATACAACGCCAAAAACACAATCCATAGAAGAACAAAGTAATGAATTAGATTTGAGAAAAATATATTTTCAAAAGACATTGTTAATTCTCTAAGCTGACATTTAGCTCTAGTAAAAATACAAACAAACAAACAAACGAAAAAGGACACTGTTAAGAGATAGAAAGACAGACCACAGAGTGGAAGAAAACATTTGCAAATCATATATCTTATAAAGGACTTGTATATAGAAAACATAAATAATGCTCAAAACTCAATAAAAAGAGGACAAATAGTCTCATAAAACAGACAAAAAACGTGAACTGATACTTCTTCCAAGAAGATAAACACAGGATACAGAAGTACAACTGAAAAGATGCTCAATATCTTTAGTCATTAGGGAAATGCAAATTAAAACCACAATGAGACACCACTAAACACCTATCATAATGGATAAAATTTTAAAAACTGACCACATCAAAGCAAAGATGTAAGAGGAAATAGACACCTACCATACGATCCAGCTATTCCACTCCTAAGTATTTACCGAGAGAAACAAAAGTATATGTTCATACAAAGACTTATACATGGATGTTCATACCAGCTCTATTTGGCAAAACCTGGAAATGATCCCAACGTCCATTAATGAGTGAATGGATAAACAAACTGTGATACATCTATACGATGGAATGTTACTCAGCAATGAAAAGAATGAACTATGGATGAATCAAAATAATTATGCAGAATGAAAGAAGACAGATTAAAAAAAAGTACATACAAACTGTATAATTCCTTTTATATAAACATCTAGAAAATGCAAACTAATCCATAGTAACTGAAAGCAAATCAGTGGTTGCTTGGGGACTGAGATGGGGAGGGTTTGGAGGAAGGTGCACAAGGAAATCTTTGAGGAGATGTACGCGTTCATTATCTTCATTTTGGTGAATTTCATGGGTACATACAGGTGTCAAAAGTTATACTGTACTTTAAATATATGCTGTTTAGTGTATGTCAATTTTACCTCAATAAAGCTGCTAAAAAGGAGAGTTTTGGTTTTCGTTGAGTATTATTTAGCATTGTCATTTTAGCAATTCATTTACACATAACCTCAGATGTAATATGAATAGCACATAACTCAATGGTAATTCCAACATTAGTTATTGGAGTTTCATCTGTGTATCAAAAC